AATTTTAGGGTTTGTTTCAATATTTAATATATTATTTATTTTATTTTTAATTATTTATTATATCTTTTTGGTCATACTCTCATGTTATATTTTCTCAAACACTTTCTTTTATTATTATTTTTATTTATTATAAAGACATATTTAAAAATAAAATTATATTTTAAACTTATTTATTACTTTTAATAAGTTTTAACTACTCATTTATTATTTATATTAATTATTTAAAACTTATAACAAAAATCAGGGTCTCTCAATTTTTTTCTTGCCACTGTTTTTTTGCATGGACCTTCAACTTTTGCATAGAAGAGAGGTGAGCGTGGTAGATATTTGAAAGAGAAAGAATGCATGTTATAAAGAGGTTGTAAATTATACACACAAATCAAGATAAAATTTTTCTTATACTTATTTTGTATGTTATAAAATAAGTTTTAAAAAACTATAATTTAGTTTTCTTCCAAACACTCCATAGATAACATTTGTATTTTTCGGAGTTGAAATTTAAATGACTATGAACCACTATATCAATATTGGCCATTAATTCTAAATATTTTCTTTTTTCTGGTGAAATAAGGGAATAAATATTTTCTTTTAATTAGAAAGACATCGATACAATTTTTGTCATACTTTTAGTGTACCCTTCAAAAGAGTGAGGTAAGTTACTTGAACGCATAAGCCAATTACATTGTGTTAGTAATTTTTTTTCCATCTTTTCATTGTGATCTAGTACTACATCATAATCATACTATATGGGAGAGAAGAAAGCCGTATGCGCTAATCTCAAAAGAAAAAACCCTTTATAAAAAAAAAATGATACAATACATTTTTTAAAAAGAAACTCGTTAATTAAATACATTATCTTTTGGCATGAGGTAAAAACCTTTCGATATTAGTATGATATAAAGTGATTCATTGCGTTAATTCATATAAATTTCAGAGAAAAACATACTCGCAGTCTTTTAACTTTTGTAATGGGTTAATTTTAATTTAGTGTCATGTGACTTTAATTATTGAAGAGAGAAAGACCTTTGAAATACCCAAACGTTAAACCAGTCCACCCAATTCAACAATTTAAAAATAGTCTAAATTTTTTTTGAATGCTATGTTTTTACGACATTATGTTCTACCTTTTTTTTCCCGCAAAACCATATCTATTGATAGCTGGTCAATTTTTAGCAAAGTTATGGGATTTGATCTCATCGGCTTTTAATTCCCAAAATATTCATAGTTATTGAGCCATTAAAGTTTCCTGGCAATTCCATCAAACTTTGACTATATTAGTCGCTAGCTAAAATATACTACTCTTTGGTTCTTAATATAAAACTATTTAACTAATTTGATTAGATTAGAGAAGTTAGGTAAGTTAGTTAATTATAGGAAACATGACATGTTTTTTCTAAAACACCATAATCATCTTCTTTAATATCCTTCATTTTTCTTTTAATTGATTATGGTTGAGAGAGTTCCAGTAAGAGTAATATAAAAATTAATAATTAAATATGAAAAATATGTCTTATATTTAGGACTAACATAAACTCAACAATTAGGTCATATATTAAGGACCAGTGGAATAATAGTTACTGACCATCATGGATTAGTAATACCCATTATTTTCACTAAGTTACTATTATATTGCAAGCTCGGCAAGGTTGTGATATAAGAAATTGGCTATACCATATTAGCCATTAATTATAATCTAATGGCCATTGACCATGCAATAGATCTTTTTATCAACAAGTTTAGTGAAGTTACTGTTGTGAAGGACAAATTACAACCCATTAACTACAATATAATTGGTCATTTTGACCATAAAGGATTGGTGATTACTTACCATTCTCACCAACAAGTTTACAATTCTATTAGTTTAACAAAAGCCTGGTGCAAGTGATGACTAGCTACACGGGTCTACAGTACATTATTTATTAACTCTAATCTAATGGCTACTGACCATAGTCCATAACATATTAGCAATTATTCTTTTTCTGCAAATTTACAATTTGTTACGAGTTTAAAAATAGTAAAAAAATGTATGTGGATAAAAGGTGAGCAAATTATCATGGTATCTTTAATAAAAATATCTTAAACATAATATAAAAATTTGAAGGCAGATTAATTTTTCCCCTTCTCAAGCAGTAAATTCTTGCCATTTTCGGATGGTAAGACGTGCGGTCCATCTTCTAAAGATGAGCAGTGCACTGGAATTCATTAAATACCCACTAAATATGGGCATCGATTATTCTGTCTCTTTTTTTCTATTTTTCCCACTATTTCCACTTCTACTAAATTTGACATACTACTATATACATTACATGTCATATTCCTTTTTTCCGCTTTGCCAACCAACTACATGTCATATTTCAGTTGATGACATAGAGTGAATTGGCAAAATGTTATCCCTGCGTACGTCTGATGTTTGTTAGATTAGCTAATATGATGGTGTTTTTTTAAAATACTTTAAACATCTTTTTAATTTTCTCTTTTATTTTTTACTTGATTATTGTTGGAGAATATAATAGGGTTAATTAAGAAAACAATTTATAAATTTATGAAATGTCTTACATATATGATTAATATTAACTCTATAATTAGGTTTTCCATTAAGGACTGCAGAGTACTTATTATTTGCGTGTATATATCTTGGTCATGTAAGTAACCTAATTTTTTTTAAAAACGTCTCTTCATAATTTTTTGGCCTAACGCAGGGTCTTAAATACCGCTTCAAAGATTTGGATCTGGAGAATTAAGATCGATCGTTGTGTCAGATGGCATGCAATCGACTGATAAGCGGAAAACATCACTCATTCCAATCTCATACATAAAATCTAGCTAACTCATTCACAAAGATTAAAAAAGTGATTAAATTAATTATTTGTCATAATTGTATGAAAAATGCGTGTCACTTTTCATAAAATACTCATAATCTGAACCTCCTATTGTAAGGAAGATATTCGTGGTAAAAAAAAAAAGGAAGGAATTTTTTTTTTGGGTCAGGAAAAAAGGAGGGTATTAAAGAAAGCAAGAAAAATTGCGTAATTAATTAGGTTATTAATTTGAAAAAAATAGAGTGGGAGAAATAAAGAATATATTGATTATTATCCCATATTTAGGAGTAAGTAAATCTCTCAATTATATATATATATATATATATATTTGGTGAATCTCTCGAGTATATTTTATAGATAGGACTTAGGAGTTAGGAATTAGGATTGCAGAGAGTGGCACAGAGTGGCACATAATTGTAGTCATGTAATCACATAATAATCAAAGGGAGAAGAATTGTATAAAAAAAATAATTATCACTGGCTCTCTATGTTATAACTATCCAGATTCATTTTTTGAAATCTTTTAAAAATTCCTTCATTGTAATTTATAAGAAAATTTTTAAAAACGATTTAAAAAAAAAGAAAATTGACGGTATTAGTGTTAAATGAAAGGTATTTTTGAAAGTTCCCACTTCTTGTTAAAAATTAAGATTTTTACTTGTATCAAACAAAGTTAATCGGTCTCCACAATTTATTATAAAAATATACTATAAATGAAAAAGGAGGGAGTATATGGAAAATACGAACTTCAATAAATCAATGGATGAATGTGACGTGCTGGAGATGCCTACGTCAAAAAAAAAAAAAACACAATTGACGGTAATGGAAAGAAGGTTGAGGTTAATAATGTTGTCTTTTAAATTTCGTTAAGTGCCTGGCCAGACAATTGGGTTGATTAGGACTGCGTTAATTAATGGTTTTACCAAACGGGGGAAATGAAATATAAATAATAATAATAGTGGACGGATTCAGATGGATACGTTGTCAAATGCAATTGACTTTTCATGTCTGGTTACGTGACAAACACTGCAAATCCAACCTCTGTCAGCTACAGTTAGCCAATGCCAATTATGCATTAATAAATCAATCACAGATCTCTTCAGTTATTATACAAGAAGAATATTGAATTATATGTCTATTTAATATGAAAACAAATTTAATAAAAATGAATCATGTATCATGATGTTCAATTAAAAAAGCATCCGGTGCAACAAAAAAAACCTCCATGAATAGGTTAGGAATATAGCGCATCAGTAGCATATATTCAGAATTCACAAACGAATTTCAAAAAATTAAAAAGAAAAATAATAATACTTGTAAATATAATGGCATTTAATGTCAAGATAATTAAATATGATTACAATATACTTCATATGTTTCAAAATTAAGAAATACAGTTAATACATTAAAATATTAATTCCATTGTCAATTTTATCCTTAATCTAATGCATTGAAATATTTTAAATTGTCTACCTAAATGCTGCATTGAATTTTTTTATACAACAAAAATTTAAGTGAGTTAAGTCTCGAAAGCTTTACTAGGACCAACACATGTTTTTAGACTTAAAGAATATTTAGAGAGATATTTACAGATTATCCACTAACAAAATTATCACATTAACTATATGATTTAAGAATTTTGTTGGTGGACGATAATGAAATAATTTTTTTCCCCTTAAGAATACCCTCGTTTTGAAATAGTGGAAGTATTTATTTTTAAATTTTTTTGTTGCTCATTACTATAACCTAATAGCGGTAACAATAAATTATACTCTTCTGGTCCTAAATGTAAAACCCTTTATAAGGGTCTATATTATATGACTGGAAGAGTATTTTTTTAATTAGAACAATTAAAAATGGTAGATGAATTCTACTAACTTTTAAATAAATGGCAAGTGAAGCCCAAAAGTAGAATGAAAATGAAATTACCAATGAAGTCAGTCAAAAGCATCTGATACAGTATGAAACTTGTATTGGTGGTAAATCCTGTTCAATCCTACTTGTATAATAAACACTGTGCGATGTGCGCTAGCAAAAATGGTAGTGCCAGTAAAATGTATTTTGTCTGAACTCTGAAAGCATATATAGCTTTCTCTCTCTGCTCTCTCCCTTGCCTCCAAATCAAAACCACAACTCTCATCTCTCTCTCTCTCTAACTGTAGTCTTGTTTTTTTGAGATAGAGTGTAGAGAGAGAAAGCTAGAAAGAGATTTGAGGGGATGAGTAAAGCAAAGACCATCTTGTCATTGTAGGGTTTTCGTAAAACTTCAAAAATATTGAGACACTAAAAAGAGCTCGTGCCACGCAGAAGAAGCAACGGAAAAAGAAGAATATATTAGAAAAAGAGACAAGGGAGCGAAATGCTGGTGCTCTATTGAACTTGAATTCGGAGGATCGGATTACGCAATTGAAGATCTCTCAGCTTCTACTCTGGAGCTGCACATTGAATTCCGCGATCTTCCGACATTTTCAGTTCCGCTTTTGAATGTAAATCGTTAGGGTTTTTTTTTTTTCTCCCTTCGATGTTACTGCTTGCATTGTTTCTCAAGTTATTTGTTTATGCAAATGCGTGCGTGTATAGTCTGTTTCGCTTGCGGTTTCCTGGGTTTAGCTCCGTCAGATATCGAATATTGGGGTTATAGGAGCGTATTCAGCAGGAGGTCATTGCGGTCTCACACCTGAGTGAGGTCTTTATTGAATCAGATCTATGCCATCTAATTTCTTTATCACGAATTCGGATTTCTATATTGCTGCAAATGCTTAAATTTAGGAGCAATTTGTTTTTAAGCTGGGTTTTGGGGTGGGATCTGTGGTGTTCCTCTGTTATGGCATTCAAACGAGTGGGGTTCACCCTGTAGGCCTTTCGTAAATTCTATATGCTGTTACTCGTTTGAAAAGTGCCGATTTGTATAGTTGGCCAATTTGAGTATGACCGGCCATCATCTGATGAAGAGTTCAGTAAACTAGTTTCATTGCTCTGAAATTTTCTTACCTCTGTTTTCAGAATCTGCATTCTGAGTTTAGGATTTCTGAAGTGGATTTTGCTGATTTTCATTACCAACAAACGAAAACGATGATGGAAAATGCGTTTGGTTATGTGCATAGGTCAGAGAACTGATAGAGCTCGCTTTAATAAAGGAAAATGAAGTCTGACACACCTCTTGATTATGCTGTATTCCAGTTGTCTCCAAAACGTTCAAGGTGTGAATAATAATTGCCTTTTCAAGCTGTCATGTGGTTTTCTATTTGTTATACTTTTGTTACATTATATATCGTTCGTTTTTTTTTTTTTTTTAACTTTTTATGGGCAGATGTGAATTGTTTGTTTCAAGTAATGGAAATACCGAGAAGCTGGCATCAGGACTTGTAAGACATTTTGTGACCCATTTAAAGGTTGCCGAAGAGCAGGTTGCACTAGCAGTCCAATCATTTAAGCTAGGAATTGAGAGACACAAAAATGCAGAGGCATGGTTTACAAAAGGAACACTTGAAAGGTGAAAGCAGTGAAAATGAAGAAAATTTTACCATAAGAAATCCTTGTGTAGTTAACTTTCTAGTTCTCTCTTGGACTAATGGGCCTTTGGTGGTTGTAGGTTTGCACGCTTTGTTAGCACGCCAGAGGTTTTGGAAATGGTCAATACCTTTGATGCAGAGATGTCCCAGTTGGAAGCAGCACGGATAATTTATTCTAAGGTATGACGTGATGACCTATAGAATGTTGGTTGAAATAATTGTGTAAAACACTTGTTTGTCTTGCTGATCTCGGAAACTCCTTATTTCAGGGGTCTGGAGACCAGCGGATGGATTCTCAAGGTACAGCTCTCTTCGAAGATCATTCTTTTTCAGTATTGTACAACGGTATGCGCATTGGCTATGACAAGGGGTTTGAAAGGAAGTAGGGTCACTGTCTAGAGAAGCAAAGAAACTCTGTTGAACGGAAAATATTAATAGTTTTCATGATTAGACCTAATTTGGGGGGGGGGGGTATTAAAGAGAACATATATGCATTTAAAAGATAATGGGAATAATAACTTTGGAACTTTGAAGTTCATCAATAATCTTTCAATCCCAGCTCCTTTCTATTTTTCCGTAGAAAATATCTCTTTGTTGAGGCAAGACGATTCCATATGAGTGGACAGTTTGTCTGTAATGGTTCATTTTGATAGCACTTAATGTGGTGAGAATCTATACCGTGTGTCATCTTGATGGAGGTTTCATATCTGGGTAGATAGAAAGGAAAGGAAATAAACCATAGCCCAAAAGACAAAGGAAACACTATTGAATTTTTATGCGTGAATGTTCCTTTGATTGTACCATAACATAATTGCTGAATTTTTTGGGTGAGACCACGTAGTTCTTCCAACCAATCGGGATTTGAGTCAGGTTGGTCCCAAATGGGGGGTAAAACTTTCAATGTGGTCTTTACCATTTACAAAACTTGAACTCATAATTGTTTTCTTTCAAATGTCAAGAGCACATGAAAATATTTTCAAGATTCAATAATTCAATAATAACACCTGATATGCTTGCAAGGTAACAGAAAATAAAGTTGAAACTCTGTCTGAATAACTGATCACTAGGACTTTTATGTCCAGAAGAGAACGATAAATTGAAGAGGATTTGAAATGGGGAACCCAAATTAGATGAAATTGAGGTTAGATAAGTTTTATGGAAGAGGAGATGATTTTAGCTCATCGTCTCTTAATGATTAATACGAATGCAATCGCAATTACCTTTGTGCATCTTGGCCTTTGAATATTGTGGGCACTAGGTACTGGTGGGGTTTGCATTTTGATCTGTTAGACCTCTTTATTCATGGCCCTGACGCCTATGCATTGTCTCGGGTTGTGGCTCTTCATACCCATTGGAGTTTGTTTTGCTTCTATTCTTGCTTGATTGATAGTGACACTAATAAGTCATTTGGTCAAATTTTCTCCAGATGGGGATGGAACAGGAACCACAGCAGCAGCAGATGCAACCAAGTATTTTTCCATCCTCACTTCAATTTTCTTCTTTTGTTTTTTCTTTTTTGGATGCATTATAACTTGAATGTTTTACAATCATTATTTCATTTTTATGGCTGGGCTCCCTATATTGGTGATAGAGAATGAAAATTATTGCATCTGCCATTTAAGATGATTAGATGAGAGACTCATCTTTTCTCATGACTTGAGTGCCTGGGCAAAAAACTTGCGATGTTGCAAGGATGAAAAATTAGAAAGCTACGGGCAATTTCAGTAACTATTGTTTACTGGTGATTGCTGGAACTTAATCTAAAAAAAAGGACCAATATGTCGCTTCTGATGGTTTTTACTGCCTATATTTAAGCGGGTATTGAAATAGTCAACAGTGGGACACTGAGTTTGGTTTTATTGAAAAACTGATACTCTTCTAGTCCTTAATATAATACTTATTTAACTAATTTGAGTAGATTAAGGAAATTAGGTAAGTTAGTTAATTATAAGAAAAGTGACACATTTTTCCTAAAACACCATAATCATCTTTCTTAATACCCCTTCTCTTTTTTCTATTTGATTATGGTTAAGGGAGTATCTATAGGGGTAATTTAGAGAAAATTGATAAATATGAGAAATAGGTCTTATATTTAGGATCAAAACCAACTCAAGAATTGGGTCTTATATTAAGGATCGGAGGAGTATTACTTAAGGCAAAAAGATAAGATCAATAAGTTGTTAAAAAATGCAACAAATCAGTACTAAAGTTTTTCCGATCCAAATGTTGAACTGGTGCTAATGTAAAATCAAGGCATCTAATGGAAATGAACGCAGTGACCGTTAGCAAGACCTTTGGTGCTGGATAATCATTGTAGTGAGGCATAAAATTATGGTAAAATGTTAAGAAAAAGGAATATATATGTGGGAGGGAATCAATTATGCTCACATTGACATAATGATTTTTACCTTCTAGTTTCTTGTTAACTTGTTTTTTTTGGCTTTCCATCTTCTACAGGAAGGAACTTCTGAGGGCTATTGATGTACGACTTAATGCAGTTAAGCAGGACTTAATCACAGCCTGCGCTCGTGCTTCTGCCGCTGGTTTTAATCCTGATAGTGTGTCTGAACTACAACATTTTGCAGACCAATTTGGTGCTCATCGGTTGAAGTAAGAAAGCCCGCAATTTATAAAAACCCTGGACTTTAAACCCTCTTCGGGAGTCCTTTTTTTGGGTGTTTGTGCTTGTGCAGCATGTATGACTAGAGTTGCCTTCTATTTGGTAGAATGAGGAATCAAATCGATAGGCTTCACTAGTCTATAAAAGAAAAGGGTGTAGTTTTCTAAGCTCACCTTATATTGGGTTCCACACTCTGCAAATTTCTGGTGTTTGATGGGATTGTTGATTAGTTCTTTTCTGAAAGTGACGAAATGTGTGTGTCAATGGAACATAAAACGAAGTTTTCCCTAGTTTAAATTCTCTAGATTTGGACATAAAAGATTCAGTTGTTTACAGTCTAGTTATAAAGAAGTACTTGTATGAGTAGAGTTGTGGTGACCCGATGATGCAATGTGGCTAGAACTTTACATTGGATGTAGGAGATTTTAAGGTGGGGTTTGTGTGAGTCTTGGGCTTTATCACAGGATGTATGAGATTTTAGGGTGGGGTTTGTGTGAATCTTGGGCTTTCTAGCTTTGATTCCATGAGCTAACTTTTGGGCTAGGGCTTTCCCAAAGGTAGGTTTTTTTTTTTGGGGGGGGGGGGGGAGACTATTCAGATTTTCTTGTTAGTCCGGCAAAATCCAAGTTGTCTTAAATGTTTCCTTCATATTGGTTCCACCTTCGTGCACATGGCTCATTTGTCTCTGTTGGATTGTTGTTAAGCTCTTTTTGCCGTACAGTACAAAGCTGATGATAAGTAGCATGCAGGTTGCAGGCTTAGTTCTTAATAAGCTGACAGTTGATCTTGTATGTAAAAGATAACTTGTAATAGATAGGAAATCTTGGTGATCTGCTAGTGAAACCATTAGATGTTTCGATGATTGTTCAACTGCCAATTGTTTCCCTATGGTCCGTCATCCTAAACCCAATTGTTTCAATAGAATAGGGACACACTGCACTGGTATATATATATCCTTAATATGCGTTTCCAATTTATTTGTTTATTTTTTTTGGGCCAGAATTTATTTGTTTATTTTCGACAGTGCTAATAAGATTAATTCTAATGGTGTTTAAGTTGTAGCCTAATTCATTCTTCCTTTCCCTATTTGGTCATATTATAGAATTCATATAAAGAGTTGGGTATAGGTTCCTAGTAATGCAATTAATTGTAAGTTGAGAAGTCCATCCTTGTGGTTTTATGTCGCATTATGTGGAAGTTATGGATGGAAGATAGAAAGGTCTCTTCTGTTGGCGTTTCTTTTTTAAAATTTTCTCACATATATTTAATTAATATATTTAAAAGTTGCATGAGTTGATTATATTTTCAAAGGAATTTTTTTAATTCGAATATAGTTGGGCTATATTTTATTGTTTTTAATCTCTCAATGTTAACCTTTATTTATTATTTTTTTCTCAATTTTTTCCTGGAGCGCAGCGAAGCTTGCGCTAAATTCATGTCACTCTACCAGAGGAGACCGGACCTTATCAGCCCGTGGAAGTTAGGGGACGATGACAATCGAGTTCTCCGAGCATCAGTTGGGTCAGACATGTCCATTGACGACCCCACCGAAGATCAATCCGGGGCCCACACCAGGTCTAATCAGCAGAACACCACGGAAGCCCAAGCATCTGAACAATCAAAGTCCTCCACGTGGCGCCGGCCCATGCAATTTGCCACCTTCGTGTCTCGACGTAGTTCCATGGTAAATGAGAAAGGCGAAGCCGAAGTCGTTGCGGAGGAGAAGAAAGAGGAGGCCCCCACTGAATCGTCAACTCCAACGGCTCAGCCGGCGCGGCGGCTCAGTGTGCAGGACCGGATCAACCTCTTCGAGAACAAGCAGAAGGAGAATTCCGGTGGTAGCGGCGGAGGCGGAAAACCCATTATTAGCAAATCTGTGGAACTAAGGAGGCTATCCTCTGATGTTTCTTCGGGACCCTCTGCTGCGGCTGCGGCTGCGGCAGCGACAGCTGAGAAGTCTGTATTGCGAAGATGGAGTGGCGCCAGTGACATGAGCATTGATGTGAGTGGTGATAAGAAGGATACGGAAAGCCCCTTGTGCACCCCCTCGTCGGTTTCCTCTGTTCCACGTACAAAATCCAATGCAGTCTCGGTTACATCTGAAGATGAGGATCATAAAGGATTTAATAATTCCGACAGTTCATCCTATTCCGTTCTCCAGAGTGGTCCCCGAAGGTCTGGTGATGTTGGGTTGAAAGCTCCAGTCCATCCTCAGACCCGTCTTGGGGATTTTGACGTTAAAGAGGAGGCTGACTCCAATGTGGCAACCGATTGGAAGGATCAAACAGCTTTTAGTGTTCCACTGAAGCCTTCTGCAACAAAACAGCTTGTGCAAAATAATCTGGGCTCTTCTCCGGATCCATCAATAACTTCTGCTTTCGCAGAAGAAAAGACTTGTTTCAATCAAAATCAAGTGGGCTCTGAGTCTCACATTAGGGGCCTCTCCAAGCAGAGTGAGGCCATCAGAACAAAATCGCAAGTGGGGCCTGTTGTATCAGACGTTAAATTCTCTAGAAGGGAAGATGGTGGAATCAGAAATCAAGCTATGGGTCAATCTTTGAATAGGGATTCTCATAATCGATCTCGTTCTCTCTCAGGGCAATTTGATGGTGGTATTTCCCTACAACCTAAGGAAGCTTCTGTTCAGGTTGGGGTGATAAATCTAAGCATCATCCCCATTGGAGTTCTTCTACTGGAGAACTTGAGGAGTCAGTGAAAAAGGGCACCCCATTCTCTTACAATCAGCAAATGAAGATTGACGATTCTGATGTCCCAGGTATGAATTGCCGTAAACCTCATCCTGGTGGCAAATCACTCAGCAAGAGGGTGGCCAGGGATCAGATTGCTCTTGAACATACCAAGTTGAACCTCCCTAATAAAGAAGCTTCGGAGAGTCAAGATGGTATTCATTTACCCTCAATGGCACCTTCAGACCATGTTCCAAGAATAAGACAATCTAAGGGAAATCAAGGGCTGAATGATGAGCTGAAATTGAAGGCAGATGAGCTCGAGAAGCTTTTTGCAGAGCATAAACTACGGGTGCCGGCAGACCATTCTAGTTCTGCAAGGAGAATGGAGTGTGCTGAAACAGATGTAGAACAGGGTATTCATTCACAATATAGAGAAACAGTGGAGTCAACTCCTCCACTTTCTTCCAGAAATACAACACTCAAACCAACTAGGAGTTCTAACAATGTAGTGAACTCTGATGCTAAGATGGTGGATAATAACAATTATGGTGATGCCCTGAGGCAATGTTTCTCAGATCTCAACTTCAGTGACGATTCTAGAGGAAAATTTTATGAAAAGTACATGCAAAAAAGAGATGCTAAACTGAGGGATGAATGGAGTGCTAAAAGAGCAGAGAAGGAAGCCAGGATGAAGGCCATGCAAGATAATCTTGAGTGGAGCAGGGCTGAGATGAAGGCCAAGTTTTCAGGCTCCATAGACAGACATGTGTCCATATCCAGTGATCATCGACGTGCTGAGAAATTTAGTTCTTTCAAATTGAATATTAAGGGAGAGCAGGTAGTTATTTTTAATGGATTTTGTAATCCTTGATAACATTAAACCATCTAGAATGCCAAGTTTTTTTTGATATTTGTTATACTGATATGTGTATTGGTTGTAATTTGTTATGTCCTCCATTATTTTGACAGCATCCTATAGTTTCCCTTCAGAATGAAGAAGATGAAAATCTATCTGATTTTTCAGAAGAAAAATTATATGGACAGGCCAGACAATTTAGTGAATCAACGTTTGGGGATGGTGCTTCAAAACAAAACAGAAAAAATTTACCTAACCGAAACTCGTATTCATCCACCCGCACAACTGTGTCATCAACTTCACGATCATCAACCAAAGTTGTTAACCCTACTTCTGGAAGGAGAAGAGATAATCCTCTTGCTCAATCTGTTCCAAATTTCTCTGATCTAAGAAAAGAAAACACAAAGCCTTCTTCTGGAGTTAGTAAAACAACTCCCCGCTCTCAGCCAAGAAACTATGCCCGGAGTAAGAGCACCAATGAAGAGATGCCAGGTATAAAGGAAGAGAAGCCAAAGCGATCTCAGTCTTTGCAGAGAAGTTCTGCTAGTCCTTTAGAGTTCAAGGAGTTGCCCCCTTATGGCTCAGAAGGGGTTGTTTTGGCTCCATTGCAATTTGATGGGGAGCAAACTGATGTAGGCCCTGGCGCTGGATTCAGTTCTACTTGGGTGAAAGCTTCAATGGCGTCTGAGGCTCAGAAAAATGAAAGATTTGATGAACTGGCATTTGAGGCAGAAGATTCTGCAGAAATGTCTAAAGATGAAGAGGATGGAATGGAATCCATGGCTGTTGAAGATTTTGCATATGTGAATGAAGGTAAGACAAGACAGAGCCAGGAATCTGATAAATCTGGTAATTCCGGATCTGAAATTGGAGATTCTGCTAGATCTCTCTCTCAAGGAGAGCCTGGTTCAGTAGCTGAAATGCCTGCTGCTATGCCATCAACTTTTAGCAATGTAGGATCTGTGCAAGACTCGCCAGTTGAAAGCCCTGTCTCTTGGAACTCTCGTACACGTCACCCATTTTCTTATCCACACGAGTCCTCTGATATTGATGCTTATATGGACTCTCCTCTTGGAAGTCCTGCATCTTGGAATTCCCACTCACTGATCCAAGGTGAGACTGATGCAACTCGAATGAGGAAAAAGTGGGGCAGTGCTCAGAAGCCTATTCTTGTTTCTAATTCATCCCAAAATCAACCACGCAAGGATGTCACGAAAGGTTTTAAACGATTATTGAAGTTTGGGAGGAAAAATCGTGGGTCAGAGAGCTTGGTACCGGATTGGATCTCTGCTACAACCTCTGAGGGAGATGATGATACAGAAGATGGCCGGGATCCTGCCAATCGGTCATCAGAAGACTTGAGAAAATCGAGAATGGGTTTCTCTTATGGTCTTCCTTCTGATGACAACTCGAATGAAAGTGAGCTGTTCGACGAACAGGGTAAGCTATGCTACTACTTACTATTGGGCAACATGCTTGTTTTCTTCCTCTAAGTTTCAAGCTCAAAATAATTTTCCACTTCTATTTCTTGTGCTTTTGTTTTTTTTCTTTTCTTTCAAATATCTGTGCTGCCCTGCTATATTAGACTGCCCTGATATATTAGATTTTTTAATAAAAATCTTGGATAAGAGTTCTTTTTATGCATTGTATCTTTTTATATTTGAAATCTGGAGGAATCAATCTCTCATTTCCACGCTTTATTTATTTCTTGATGATGTGGGATCAAGGGGGTTCAACATGAATAAGGGTTATATAACTTGCCATCGTGTTCCAAAATTGATTGGATAATAGATACAATATAAGGTTATGATATTTTCCTGGAAAGACAGCTCCGGAACTCCATTGAAATATTATATGAAGTGGGGATAGGTGAACACCATTATAAATCAAAATCAATCCTATACAGTTTAAGCTTGAATTGCACTTATCATGCTCTAAATTTCAATTATATTCGAAACTAATTTGTACACCATTTAAAGAGGCTCTCTCGTCATTTGCGGATGTCATTTGCTATCAGCTGGTGTTGTTGTACACGTAATTCGTGTTTGCATATTAGAAATATTTGCATTGTTGATTTAAGGAATGAGTGTAAGTGACTTCCATAATTGACTGGTTCTCGTTCCTTGCAGTCCAATCCTTGCGAAGCTCCATCCCTGCACCTCCTGCTCATTTCAAACTGCGGGATGATCATATTTCAGGAAGTTCATTAAAAGGTGATGCCTGGCTAACACAATCTAGTTGAAATTCAAATCTGTTGTGCGTTATGCTGCTAAAGTTGTATACCGTGTGCATTGGCGAAATATGTCTCGTTTGTAACTGATTGGCTCAATTGAGGGAAGGGTCTCTTTAATTTCATTTAGGAAGCGTTTCTTCAATTTCATTTAATAGTCTTTTTCTATATTGCATGAAACTTTAAGAAGGAAATCTGTTGGCATTCAATTTTGTCTCACACAGTGTGGTGGTAAGGGGGCAGTAGATGCCAAGTTATCTTTAATGACTGAGGAGTCATATTCAGACATGTTTTGGGCTTTTCATCAATATTCAGAGATGCAACTTCTCTATTTGGTTAAACTTTTCGTTGCTTTCACAACGTTGTAGTTGTAACTTATACATGAAATTCGTTTCCTGCAGCTCCCCGATCATTTTTCTCTCTCTCAAATTTTCGAAGCAAGGGAAGTGACGCAAAGCCCAGATGAAATGTCGCTTTGTTTGCCTGGAATGATTTGATTCACTTCTTCGATGATAGGGTGTAAAGGGCATATATATGATACGAAACTCAGAGGTAGGCATGATGGATTACATAAAAAGATATACGATGATGGGTTTTTGTATATTTTCTCGGATTCATGAGGTTTTCCTTGTGATTTAGGTAGCTTTCTCTGATAATGTGTTGAAACATGCTGCATACAGAGATATTCTTTTATTTTGCTTTAGTTCTGTCTGTGAGATGTATATTAGAGTTGAATGTTTTTTAGGGTGAACATAGTCAGGGTCAAGAAGAGTGGTATGCTTGCGGAGTAATAGCTTGCAAAGGATTATTTTCCTCCTCTTATTAAAAAGAAATAATTAATGTTGTTTACTTCTAATCTTTTGCCTCTCACTACAGGCATTCTTTGTTGAACGATACATCATTGTAATATTAGAGGTATAATCCCAATTATTATTGTTTATGGAATTTATTTTGATTTGTTGTAAGATTAACAGTAGGAACACCTTGAATGCCAGGAATGGTTGTTCTAATCCCTACGTCTGTACACACGTACAACAGCTTACACACACAGCACGACACACAGCCTGTGTTGTTTCTTTGTAAAGAACCATCCTTGAAATTGACGCTTCCCTCAGGTAAGGGAAGAAGGCTTTCTTCGCTGGAGTTTAGGGAAAGGAGATTTCAACCGTAGAAATTTTGTCCCGAGTGCTAAAATATTTTAATTATTTAAGCCCTAGATAAAAAAAAAAATCTCTAACCTTACCACTCATTTTTTAAATAATAGCTTTGATATTCAAAATATTATAACATTATTTAAATTTTATAATTTTTGAAAAATATGAATGATAACATAAATACTGACAAACTCTGACATGCGGACTGGATCCAAACTCTGCCTCTGGTGCTGACGTCTCAAATGTACTATGTTTTTTCTACTTGGCATGTGGTCTGATTTTTGTCTCACTAATTTCTTAATGAGTTAGTTTATTAATTTAAATAGGTTAAAAAAATTAGTTAAATTAATTATTTGTAATAAATATGTATTATCTTTTCTAATTATATGTATTAACAAGGGCATTTTAACATGTGTAACTATTATAAATAATATTTTAAAAATAAATAAATAAATATGAAAAAATAGATTGTGATTTTAGATTTAGGATCAAATTAAAAGTCAAACTAATTTTTATATTAAGGATTATATATAATATTTAACATCATAGAAGAAAGTTTAAAGAAACCAAGTATCATCATGCCTACCGCAATATATGAGAAAGTTTAAAGAAACCGAGTATCATCATGCCTAATCTAAGATACTGTCTTAACCGTAAAAGCCGAAGTATAGCGTGGTCAAGACTCAATAAGCATATTCGACCAAAAGAGAAGCACATCTTTTGAGTCAGCACAACTCAAAGTTGAACTTTAATAATTTAACTTCATTATGTGAGAAGACAAATGCAATACAAGATTACGGTATAACATTACAAAAGTGTTTATTTCTGTTTTTTCCTGACAATTATGAATTGTACATGCAAGTATCCAAGTCTCCCAAAATTTCAACTGTTAAAGCAACCCTTTATTCTCGATCTCACTGCTCTCCCTCACGCGCATTAGATTCCACTTCAGCTCGTGGATTAAGTTTTACCCTGTTCAATGTTTCTTGTTTGATTAGGGTCTGTTTGATTTCACATTTTAGTGGTAGAAAAGCAAATAATTTAGCCCATAAGCATGTTTCGGAATTTATTGTCTGTTTGGACGAGCTTTTAGCCTATCCTACATATGGGCCAAAAGCTGAACTATGAAATATGCTTGCATTAAAGCACACAAGACTTTAGTTTATTTCTTGGCCTCAAAATTTCATGTATGGGGGAGATGGGTTGATGATAATGAAGCTTAAAACCTTGAAAAAATTGGTAAAAAATCTCTGTTTAAAATTTTAATTGGCCAGAAAAATTTAAAATTGTGCAAGTACAAGTATGATCCGTGAGTACAACATATCATCCACTGTGTGCAAATTGCACACAGGGGATCATATGTTGCACTCACTGATCATACTTACACTTGCACAAACCAGGTCTTTCTGGCCAATTAAAATTTTAAACATGGATTTTTTTACTAATTTTTCCTAAAACCTTTTGTGTTAATGTAAATAAAGAAACTTAATCTTGATTTTTCCTTATTAATCACATGACTAAACCTCAAAAGTTTTTAGCTTGTGTAGGAGGGAAATCAATAATGTACTTGGAGTCGACGCAACGAGGATCACAAAGCAAATTGCAGAACTTTAGTTACATGAAAATGGATGCTTCTCTAGAGGGCACAAGTCAAAGAAGATTGACTTTCAATAAAGTATATTTAATTACACAAGTCACTTCAGAATGAATGCTGATTAATTTAGAAGTACCCATTGACGTTTTAGAACTCCATCCAAATTAGTAAAATGGAATGTGCTTCATTTACAATCCAAACTACCACAATTTTGTGCGACTTATGGTTTCTCTGCTAGCCTCTTTTACTTGCATGCTATGCCGTCCAAGAGATCAAAGTTGAAGGTGGACTTAATTGCAATTGGAGAATGTTTAGCTATCAAAGATCATTGGGAATACTTCGAGTCTACTAATTTCTATTCAGTTAAATTTCATCAATTCAATTTGCCAACCATCTTAAACCAATTCTTTGTCAATCATTTGATTATCATTAGAATAAATGTTTGTGATCTCTTCCACTGAAAAAAAAAATGTTAGTGATGATCTCTATCAATTAAATCATGACATTTGATGCTTGTTTTCACTTAATAAAACACAAGTATAGGAACTAATTGCAAATCAAACTTAAAAGATTGAATTATAAGCGAGTTAAAAATTTAAAAATTAATTTTTTCAGTATCATGTAAAGTTCAAGTTTAGAGGATGTTGTAAAATTTGGGTTTTTTAATTTGTTGAATAACGATGAATATATATGTAGAGATTAAATTAAAAGTAACTACATATGGGAAAATTGCAGATATAATTAAGATATAGTTTGGAAATTAGAAAAGATAAAAAATGGAATGAAGTCATAAACATGATTAAACGACAAATAGGATACTGATGTCATTCGAACTCTTGCTTGATGATGCTGGGAACACTTTAGCTGTTCGCGTCAAATCACCCGTTCGAAACGGCGTCGTTCAACCAGAAACTAGAGACAAATGGGGTATTATTCTCATCCTTGCATAAATGAAATTGGAAACGTCAACCAATCCTTTCTTCTCAAAATTATGCAGTTACCTGCAGATAATTTCATGTCATTGTTAATTAACACCCCTGAAAGCTTGAAACAAAAAATATTTTCCTAAAGATAATTATTTTCTCTTTTTGTTTTTTTCGTGTATAACCCTGAGATACCAGCACAATTAATTATAATTATTTCTTCTATTAATTTTTAATATCTGTCTTCTAATTATCATTTTCAGGTGTGCATATATATAGTCGGGTTAGCAGCAGTGGCTTTAGTAGGAGCATACCTAGGCAAGGAAATGAAGATAAAATTAATAAGTAATTCTTTCGCTTTAAATCATACTATATGAATCATTAAGTTTTCTTTTTTAAAAATTCTGTTTGTTTCTTCAAGTTTTAGGCAAAATGAACTTGAAAAGATTTGAATCCTAGTTTTATTGAAGCATTTTTTAAGGGTCTTAAACATTTCACTGACGCGTAAATATGCAGAGATCACATGCTGGAGGTTGGTGGGGGAAAGATCTGCTCAGAGAATAAGAAGAAAATATTTGAAAGCAGTTCTTAGACAAGACATCGCCATTTTTGACGCAGAGATGAGCACTGGTGATATCATGCATGGAGTTGCAAGTGATAGTAATAGCGTCTTCACGTTTCTGTTCAAACACATGTACGTTCCTGGCTAACCGAATCAGTCTACAAGCCAAGCCAAACCAAACCAGACTTTCCATGGCACTTGGCATACCTGGAAAGTTTGTTTAGCGTTCCAGAGAATCCAAGCACTAATATCCTGCCGTGCAAAGAACGAACGAACCGTGCAAGTGACTAGAAAGCATTCTACTCCAGACGTCGGACGCAACACTGCAATCTCGAAGAGTGTGTAAGACACTTTCACAATTATGCATGCAAATACTACACGCTGCTGAAGGAGCCATGCCTCTACGGTAACGAGTTTCATTAGTTAGCAACCGATTCTTACAAGACAGCCACAAAAATTCTTGCACCGCCGGAGTACATTTAATTTTCAGATACTTTGCCACATGCTTTTCCTAGAATCATCTCCCGTTTTGAGTAGCCATATTGAGGAGTTTGTCATGGTTAGGCAACCAACTAGTGAGGTACTATTCTTAAACCAATGTCTTGTATTGTATAATCGACCAAAGGGAGTATAGTTGAATTGAATAAATGCTAGTATAATTTAACTAGTCGGCCGTGGTAGATATGGTTTATACTTTACAGCAATCACCAGCGCAGATTGTAGCTGGCAAACACCCCTATTCATAGCAAATTGTACATGCATAACAGCGCATTTATATGTGTCGTGCATATCCCGTGCATTTAATTATTGTCATTATGTTCCTCACTTGCTCTTTTTCCTTTTTACATCACATAGCAATTAACTTGACAATATAATGTAATCTCTGAATACGTCTCAAATTTGGACGAATAAGCATTATTAATAGATTGAACATTAAATGATTTGCCTGAGAGAGGCAAGACATCATATATCATTTACCTACGCAGGATTGTGTCGTTACACGCAAGATTCATCAGCAAACAACATTGTACTGTCTCGGATCGATCGGATGAAATAAACTGTAATGATTGATTCATACGCATGATCGAATTAATCTGATAGCTAATTTTGCTCATTCCATTTGACACTGCAGAGCAAATCAGTTGCATACAGACTTTCAATCTTCTGGTAAATCAAGTAATAAATAATTAATTAAATTGAATCTGATTTAGCAAAAGTGGAAGGATATATATATATACATATATATATATATATCTATATCTTCTTCCTTCAAGAAAAGAAAAGCAAAGCGTAATGCAAATTCTCTCTATTACTATAATTATTTTTCAGGGTCTACATATATTGGAAATGAAGCTTTCTCTACGTTACTCTTCTGGGTAAGGGGCAAGTACACTGAAACGGATAGGCAAAGATTCCTTCTCCCCACGTTATTATTTAATTCTTTTCGCCTTTTTGGCATTTCTATGTTCTACTTTCCGAAACTACTTGCTTTCTTCCTCGTCTACCACTTCACAACGTATCTTCCATTTCATACTTATCTTATAGCTAGATTCATTGGAGTCCAAGTTTTGACGCGAAAATTCGTTTCATTTTTGAAATATTGCGCAATAATCTGACCTTATTCAATTCAGTGTCTGCGTTGAGGCCTGAGTCAAAAGTCAAAACGTAAGAAATATAGAAGATGTGAATATATACAAGGGATCTGACTAAGTCCCC